ACTGATTCTTCCTTTCGAAGCATCATAAATTTGTTGAAACCGGAGTTGTCGACATGCTCCGCAGATTCATGAGACAAACGGAAGTCAAATTGTCAAAAAAGTACTGTAAAAGTTTATTTGGGAGCAAAATATAGACGTGCGAACCCGGCGATGCATAAATCTAAGATGTACGAGATTCGGCGTGCATACCCGGCGGTGCATGCGGGCTGCAATGTGTTAAAGATAGGATTTTGAATTTTTAAATGCAGCTATAAACTTGAGATATATACAGTTCGATCCTCCATGAAAATGTTGTCTAATGATATAGGACACAGCGCTTCTTCTAGTGAGAGTTTTGCTATCAACCGTTTGACCCTTCTCCGGGCTCGGCCAACCTCCCTGGCCGGGTGAAAAATTAATCAACTGACTCGGACTACTCATGATATTGCATTAATTTTTCACTACTTTGAATGCTTCAACGATACGTTGGAGCATAAAACGTGGACCATCTTCAAAAAAGATCTAATAACATTTTTCGCTGTTTTCATTTGAGTTAAAGGATCGGAGCCCTCAGAAAGAAATTTTTTCGGATTTCGGCACTAAAAAGTGAATATAAGGGGTCTTCGAGCACGTCAATTTCCCTGTTTTGCCTGGATACACTCCTTGAAAGATTAACAGCAGGAGCGATGGCAAAAGTGAGCACACAGCTCTTTTTCTGATAAAGTATTTTCATCTGCTACCGTCCAGTACAAGGGCCGATAATTAGTTATAGATGCTCCACCATTTGTGTACATTGCATAAGTAGAGGATCTCCTCATTTATTTTATATGCGCACCGTAGCTAAGTAGCGTTAGAGAAATAAGAAATTCCGAAGAAAGTTTAGGATGGCATGAGCAATTGACGCGGCCCATTTTCCTTAAAAGAGCAGAGCAATTCAAATTCACGCGTTAACCAGAATCAAACAACAAAATTCTTAATTATTCCTACGCGCCAAAAACGATGATTGCTGAGCCTATTTACGAAATTCCCAAACAAGTCAGAAAAGTGAAAAAATCAGGGGTGGCATAAGCATTTGACGCTTCCTGTATAGTAGTACCTAGGGTCCACCATGCATTGATACATTCGAAAATTTTCACACCTTCCCCCCCCCCCCCTCATGGGCAACTTGATACTACCCTCTCCCCTGTATGTAATACTAACAACTAATGTGTTGCTTCGCGACTGGAGAAGTTCACAAAACTCAACCAAGAGGAATACCAGAGAGCACTGAACAAATAGCTGAAGTGACATGTAGGCAATGATAGAAAAAATATGGGTAGTTAATAAAGAATATCCAATTCAATCAAATTCAAAAAAGGCGACGGCGCGGCTTCTGTCACTCGCAATGAAAGTCGCTTGAAAAACAAAAGAACGGCACCGCAGTGAGGTACCATACAACCCACTTGGCACCTAGCCAAGCTTTTAAATTTTGGATAGGGAGGCCGGGCAAAGGAATCAATCATTGGAACGCAACACAATATTGATGAAATGAATGTGCTGAATCGCGCTCATCGGCGTCCTGAAGACGGAGCGCGTTTGCCGACCATGAACAGGCGGCGAACGGGGATACTGAAATTTAGACAATCATCCTCTGTTACATTTCAGATACTCCTGAAGATCGAAGTGGACTTCAAACACCGGGATCTGGCTTTCTAGCTGATGCCTACTTGCTCCCTAGCAATTCAAAATGGTTGAGTTTTAAACAAGGAATAAAATTGCAATGCAATTTTTACCTTCCTCCTTCGAGGGTCAATTCCTTCAAATTCAAGTTTTTACTCTTCTAAGATTAAAATAATTCGAATTATCCTCCCTCTGAACATGGCTAAATAATCTTTGAAAGCTAACTTAATAGAAAATTAGCGGTTTGGTACTTTTTTCCGTGCGCATACGACTTTTCAACTATTAAAAAGTCATAACTTCCTTCAAAGTCAGTGATTTGAAAAGCTGAACTTGGTATGACAAACCTTAGGATTCAAGCTTTCAGGTTTTCAAAAAGTACTTAGACTTATTCAATAAGTTCTCAGTTCAAGAAATAGTTCCGCCGGGACTTTTTTCGAATGGCGTTCTTTAAACCATTTTCTTAAAAACGCGGGTTTTTAAGGTTTCACTCGTCGTAACTTCTTGAAAAACCAATGCTGAACTTAGAGTGTGCTACAAAGCCTCGAGCATGCGCTTGCACCAGACTTCTCCCTGCCATGGTGTGCGCCACGCCTGGGTCGCGCTTCCATTTGGAAGGAAGCGTGAGCGGATAGATGCTCTAGCATCAGTTATTTTGCATAAACATAACGTGGTGGCTACTACCCATGTTAGCTCACAATGCTCTAACTCTAGTTTCAACTCAGTTTGACCTGTGGTATCGTAGCTAGATCCATCCATTTCGTGGTGCGAGCACTACCTCCGAACGAAGCTACATGTTTTGCTTCTGCTGTTTCTGTGAGTCTTCCTTCTCATGGCTGGGTCTAGGGTTGGAGGGCTTTGCTCCCACTCCCGACCACTGCGAGTACGCCTCCCCACGAGGTGAACGAAATACGACCCCCTCTTGGTACTTGTACCAACATAGGGTTGACCCTGCCTCTCAACGAAAAACCGAACGACATCCTAGTAATTAAAAATTCGAAGAGGGTGCGAGTTCGCAGATTATGGCCACACTCTCCTCCAAAATGCTTCCAACGTCTTCTGCGCTCTCGGATTCCAGCGCTAATATGGACACTGCAACGCCCAACGATGAACCTGCGTGGTATAAAGCCCGACGAGCCTCTGAGGGGGTATGAGATTGTGATCTACCCAGCTCATCCAGTGTTAGCTCTAGTGTTCCTCAAGCTGCACGGCCTGTTTCTTCGATATACTCGCTTCCACAGCTTTGACAGCGTATTCAGTAGATCGCTCCCACCTTCATGCACTCATTTTTATTGCCACGAGGGCATACTACACAGTTAAAGGTGTCGCATACGGTATCATAGAGTCGATTGCGAAGAATGCCTAGCCTTCAACGGGTGTATGGAGGCGTTGTCACAATCCTTACATCGTCTTGGAGATCACACCGATGCACAATCGATCGGATCGATTTATTTGCTCACTTGTTTCGAAATGAAAGGCGAACAAAGCGTTCACAATCCATTCATCAAGCGATGCTCTGGGCCATGCTCAGAGACTCCTTCTTTTGCTCAGTATCGGATGAAGCTTTGTTTGCGACTCTAAACATATTTCCGACCGCCGCCTGTTTAGTTTTTATGGGGTGCGCCGATTGGAGCAATTATCTTCTTACAGCTAAACTTGCGGTACCATTCGTTCTGTGTCCCGTTGTACCTACCTGACTTGAACATTCAAGGATGGTCACCAGTTTCCACGGGCTTTTCCGTGTAAATTTGATGTTTTTGACTACTTATTCGGGAGGTCATAACAAATGTCCATTTCTTCCTGAGATGAACATGCGATAAGGCAAACATCGATGTAACAGTAATATAGGGTTGGGCCACGGGCAGTTCGGGCTTCTCAATTTTCTGATCCCTTTGTAAAAGGTCGTCCCGTTTTTCCATTGTTTCCTCTATAGCTTTTTAGGTTATTCTCCTGGAGCGCGAGTTTTTTCGAGGAGAGGTAAAACCCATTAAAATTAGCAAGGTCAGTACTACGTAGCATGTGCTAGAAATCTTGCAAGGAAAATTTTCTCTTGCCAGGAGTTTCTATTAGGACCCTAGCGGTCAATCCGCCAAATTCGCTGCTCTTTCCTCCTTTTTGGTTTGGTCTGAAACGGGGGTTTCTCTGAGAGAATTTTTCCTCTTGCTCACTGTAACATGATGTATCTTAGTGAGAGATCTCGTGCCGAAATGCTCCATTCATCGTCTGTGGTGCGTAGTCGCAATGATGGTTGTAAGCCTGCCCTCCTTTGCTACTTACAAGCGGAGGATGGTAGGTTGAAGTGGAATGAAGTGGAATTTGAAATGATATGTATACCACCTGATGCGTCTCCAGATGCTGATTCCAAATCTGCTAACGATTCTTCGAGCGGAGTTATGAAGCGTAATAGCTCAGTAGTGATGAGTCGGGCTAAATAAGGCCTAAATAAGCTCATAGGATTGGTTCCTTTGTAACTTTGTTGCTTTGCTTTTGTCCGCAATTTTCATTTTCATCACCACTGAGCTGGTCCGCTTCATAGAACTCCTTTCAGAGCATCGTTTAGCAGATTTAGAAGGCAGATTTGGGATGGAGACGCATCAGGTGGTATACATATCATTTCAAACAACCACTTCGACCTACCGTCCTTCCTTGTTAGCAATGCATTGCCACCTTCAAATTTTGTAATTAGTACTTGAGGTGATGACTCCCTACCATTCCGTTGGCCAAATACAATCCCCCCCGTTGTCCTTTGCTCGACGGGTGGTTGACCCTGGCTGGGAGACGTCCAGTTCTCCTCTTAGGTCAGGTCACCAGAGGTGTGCGATCAATGAAGCCTGGGTGGAGTTTGGGTTTCGGTTCAGGCTTAGGCTTATGACACATTGGATTATGGTTGAGCCTATGATTGGGACTAGGCTTAGTACTAGGCTCCTTCAAACAAATGGTGTTCTAATGTTAGGTAGCCTAACCTGAGGAGGAAAACTGAAATCCATCTCCCCCTCTAGGATTTCTTTGACAGTTCGCCAACCTGCTCCAGGGCACCTTCTGATTCCAATATTTTTCCAGTGACGGAAAACCTTGCACCCATCTGTGCTTATAAGTCGTACAACACCCTTTTTTGGAGGTTTTTTGAGCCTATGCAATATTTAACGAACGTCCTCCATGTTCCTTGGGGGACGTTCGTCAAATATTTGGCACTTGTGACGAAAGTTTCTAACCGTGAGCGATGCTTATGTATGGTATCGAAAAAGCGAACGGCCCGCAGTTGGCGATAACGATTCAGCGAGCGATGACTAAGCAACCCTGGGCGTATTCAATTGCAAGGGCTGAGCCATTCTGTACGCGTGAAGGCAGCATCGCCCTGCGTCAGGATGCATAACGTCTTCTACCCTGTAGGGCTCTGTTCCTCATTTTCAATGAATTCTGAAGACTTTGTCTTCAGAATTCATTGAACTCACATTTAGCCTGTTCCGAGTGCTATTCCTATCCGCGAGAAGCTTCGTTCTGGCTGCGACATTGATGTCTACGGCAAGGTTAACCATGGCAGTCACAAGTAAGTTCGGTTCTTTCCGAATATTATGATGGAGACCCGGTTGTACAAGTCACTAGCACAGAAATTTCTCGATTGAGCTCTTATCTGGGCCGCACATAGTTCTTCACATAAACTTCCGATTTCAACGCAGTGACAAGCAAGTGGTTATGAACACATATAGTGGATCATGGGGAACTGAGGCATGTATTTTAGTAATTTCCTCATTGTGCTGGGAAAACTGACCGCTGTCACTTCAGGTCAGACACGACAATCCGCTTGGCAGTGATGATGCATTTCAGCTTCGCATTCATTGTCAACACAATTACTATGAGGTAGGCATCTCTGCATCTGATTGTGTTTGCAAGGTGAAGGGTATACATAGCGATGGTTCAGGCTGTCAAACCTGCAAAGTGTTGCATTTCTCTCATAATTCCTGAATGGAAATGCTTCTCGGAAATATGATGCGTTTTCTAATGGCATATTGCCTTCAGATTGAGTTGAACAGTAAACCATTGGCTAACTTCACTCATCGTTTCCCTATGGAGTCTGTGCAGGCTTTAGGAATGAAAGGGACGTCACCATCGAAAAAGTCCTCTTCTCCGGGTTCGACTTCGGCACCGGTCAGTTCTTTAAAATTCTTTACAGCTCAAACCAGTCCTTTTTTGCGACAATGAGTATGAAATGTCCGTGACCTTTTCACCACTCGTTTGCTTGCGGTTGGAGAAGAAAGGACGGCTTCGCAAGCAAATAAGGAGGCACCATATGTACATTGGAGGTTTTCCGATCGAACAGAGACAGTAGTCGCTATCTTTGTTGAAGACAGATAATAAGTGCAGAGAGTTCAAGGAGATGATATTTGGCGTAGATCACGCCAGAAGCGCCAGGATGTATGAGGCAATTAGAGCAACACACGAAAATAGAGGGGGGAAGGCGTCGCTTGTTTGGTTTTCCTCCAAAATATGCTTGGCATTTGATTCCTTATTAAGAAAAAAAAACTATAGTGAGACTTTGGAGGTCATTCCAAAATTAGCTATTGCTCGCACATCGTATGGGCGGAGACCGATGTAACGCATTGCCCCTTCTCATCGCACTATTCCCCTTCCCTAGGACCAGTGTATAATCTGTCTATGAAAAGCCTGAGCGGATCAGCTTGATTTCATCCATAGTGGTTAACCACCCAGTACGTCCTCTTTCATGTTTCGGTGCAATAAGCACACCTGTTTGATTGCGGAATGTGCTATATTTTGGGTCGGCATTCATGCAAACGTAATGAGAACCATACAAACCTCTGAAGATAAGAACGATCTGCCTTAACATAATGCTTCATTAACGCGTAACGTATGAGAGTTGTGCGTGTGCGCCACCCTGTGCATACCGCCACATAGGGTAAAAGGTAAAGAATTATGCAGGCTTACGCGAACAACAGGGGCCATGCTTCCATGTTTGATCTCTCAGAGAGGGGAATCCCGGACGCAGATGCTGTGGAAGCTGGAGGTGACTCATATCCGATTAGAGCGAATCAATAACCTGAGAAGGGGTTGGGCATTTAAGGGGGAAGTGATCTCGGGTTGTGTGGAACACAGGTATACCGTTCATGGAATAGATAAGTTCTTAAAGAAGACAAGGATATATGAAATTCATACTAAGTTTCTCAAAAATCCGTTCGCGTTCTGGGAAGATAAGCTATTCCTCATTGCTGTGAATACACACGGGGATACTTAGAGTATACTATGTAGAAAATAACACAAAAAATAATCGTGCGCCGCCATGTGGTGCACGTCGTCCATTTCGCATAGAACAACTGAGCTACCTTCTGCTTTCTCACGTAAAGTGTCCACGTTTCAGACTGGTGCGGTGACCACGACTACGGCCATGCTGGCTATGGTTCCTACGGTTTGGATCACTATGAACCTCCCGTGGTAAAACTCGTTTCGTTCTCTTTCTGTTTGCTATTAGAAAGATTGGCACGTTCCACCCTTTACAAAAATTTGTTCAGTGATTCATGTCAACCCTCTTATCAGATGGCCGTTTTGTCAGATGTGTACCGTTTATGTTGCAGTTCGGCTCGGACCACGCTTACAATGCCTACTTTTGAACAGCCGACATCACTGGCCAAGCAGGAATATTGTGATGTGCGTACTACATGCAGCATCGTTCTCAATAAATACACTTTCCATACAGTAGTTGTGGTAATACGAGGGGAGAATCTAGTGGATGTCCCCCTGCCGTGTCATATCAAACTATCGAGAAATTTGAGGAGAGGTGAGTTATGGGAATTCGAGATAAGAAAAACGTGAAGCAGGAACGGGGATCCAATTCAGGTGACATTCAGCCTTCTAGTGCCTCGGAGTTGCATCCAGCTCTTATTAATTCAGAAAATAAACGCAGAATAAGAATGGAGTAATCATCATTGTCCGTTATGGAGTCTTTCTCGTCCTTGATAAACCGGCAAACTGTTAAGGCTGCCAGGGAAGTGATTGACGTGCGCGCATAGACCATCTGCATTGCCATGATCGCTTTTAGCGAATAGACGTCATTCTGAAACTACTAAACTTGTTTGCTAACCTCCTGTACTGCCTCGGCTCTCTTTCGATTGTGTTTTTTTTACTACATTGATGCATTGCCTACTTTAAGATTCAACAATAATATACATGATAATAACAAAATAACAATAATAAAAACATACTAAATATAACATAATATACTCGCCCTTATTCTGCAACTTTAGTACCAGCACGCTGGGCCACAAAGCGTTTCCGTTTAAAGTACTCGATGGGCTACTATCTAAACAATCAGCTGTGTTTTGATTCGAGATCACGACAGCGTGAGACTCTTCCGCTGGAAAAAGACGCTCTATATAGACGACAGGCCGCCATCGGTTGACGCGAGAGTACAGATGTTAAAACGGCTTGTCGCTTCGAGGAGTTTCCTGACCTTTTGTCTGTACGGCTGGGGATGTGGGAGCGACAGCAAAAACCTGTGTCTTTTCTTCCCAACGATGAGAGCGTTGTAATCAAGCTTAACAATTGACCTTCTTGCTAAGCTGTCAGGATGGCGGGAAGCGAGTTTCAGCTCCGAAGCCCTGTCGTATGGATTCCATCCAAAACGTAGGCGCACCTTACATCTCAACACCACTTCTAACCACAGAACGAAAGTGAAAGCACGAAGAACAGGCGATGTAGGAGGGGACGGATCGTGCTAGGGTGTAGAACACAAATTCATATTGCAATTTTTTCGAACGTCCTCTATTTTCCAAAGCTCTGCAAATCATGGGTAACTTATCACGTTTTTTCCCTATGAGAGAAGGCTAGTCCGAACAAACTGTCAGCGGCGCACAATGAATTGAAAGTGCGTGACTCAACCCATCTTGTGATTGATTATTTGCTCGGCGTTCGAAATCAGTCAGTACTGGAGAAAAATGAGGCCCAGAAAGAGTGTGAGACCTGGCTAGTGTTTCAGAAGTATCTGCGCTCATGATGTCTCCGGAACAATGCTTCGAAGCTCGAAAATCATATAAGCATTTCCACGCCAGTTGACGTAGTGCCCAGAACTATGCTTTAACTTAATAAGTTGTCCTCATGTCCTATCGACATTTAATGAGCTGATAAAGAATCAAAACTCTCAGCTCATTCTTTCTGATGATAAAGTGATGGTGGGCATAAAACCCATTGTCAAGTAACGCTCAGCAAAGCGGATCAACCTACTGACTTAAAATGGGCGGTGTGTACAACAACATTTTAGCTTATTCGAGACACTGGTGCCGAGCTTGAATTTTGAGCAGCTTTTTTTGCAGTTTTTCACGGCGGATCAAACCATTACATCATAACAACGTGAACAAGCGAAAGATGTGAAAGTGAGCATTCTGCAGAGCGTTCCTCACTCTTCTCGTCAGGAGTAATCTCGCGCAGTCTCAGGATTTGATGTCGCTGTAAGTCGTCGACACCTTTCTTCCGGAGCATCGCCTGCAATTGTCCTAGATTCAGTGAGGTCCATCTTCACGTCGCTCCACCTCTTCTCTAGAGCTCCTCACGGTCGCCTGCCTCACACTTCGCAGTGCATTCTTTTCTTATCGGGTGATCCTGCAGTCTCCTCAGCACGTGTCCACACCATCGCACGCGTTGTTCCGGTATCTTTACAAAGGGTGCAAGTAAAAAAAAACAGACATTTTGTCTCCACATTCGGATGGATTTAATCACATACTGCTCAATTCAACCCTGGTCCCAACTCAGTGTTGAAGAGCGTATTTCATCTTATAAGAAGCTCTCTTCAGTAGCCACATACGTGGACGGCATCAAAATCTGCCTCGGATAGATGGTGCACTGGTCGAGCTCAGTGGGGTCTTCGAAGGATTGTGTACCATGACGACCTTCACTGAAAACCGAGTTTCAAGGGGCTTGCATAGTGGGAGCTAATATCTTTAGGAAACGATCTAACATTGAATGACTCACGAGATTATGTGAGAGCCTCAGGTCGAAGAAGTTACCATAGCCCTGCTCGAGCTCAAAGACGCTGAGAGATCACTCCATATCCTGAAGACTGTGACGGCAGTGAAGGCGGGCCTACGTCTACCTATAGAGGGACATTTAGAGAGTATTCTGCTGAAGAATTTCCGTCAACAACGGCAATCTCTGCGAAGAGAAGAGGGCCGAAGTGCGGAATGGGCAAAATGTTTTTCTTTTGCACCCCTATAATCACAGGGAAAGTTGGCGTTGTCCGCTCTGACATCCTCGTTTCTAGTTCTATCCTGTCGTATAGAAGAAACCCTCACAGTATCCTCATTTCAAAAGCTGTCGAGCACCCTTTCCTTTGAGTGCTCTGGAGGATCTTCGATTGCAGAGGGTTCCAGTGGACTCCTTCAATTTCATCCATGCCGCACTGACTGGTCAAACATTCTTTAGTCAATGAAGGCTAGGTAGCATCGGTGCTTTTCTCGACACTTCTTCATCACAATCTTGGTGGTTCTTCCAGGCAAGAACCCTAAATGTCCCTAGGAGATCGGGTACAGGCCCATTCCCTCAGATTTGAGCTAACCGATGAACATGGCATGCGCAGTCAACTTGATCCATCAGTCTGATCTGATACCCCATTTAGACCAGCCGCCTTGGGACCCTCCATCCTCCCTAGATGTTGACGATCATCATCCTTCGTCCGAAATAGATGGGGCCATCCGCCGCTTCTGTTTGTGGGTAGTGTTTGTGAGGAATTTCTTGTTCAGAAGCCCACTGTTGTATACTTCCCATCTCCCCTTAACTTCGGCTAGCTTCCTCGGGCTAGTGCCACCAGTGTCCTTTGACAGTTCACTACGCTATATGTTCAGTAGCTCGGCGCCGAGCTTTAGCCATTGGTACCATACTGCAAACAAAATTCTCTAGATTTGGGCTTCCCAACCCTTGTACGAAGCGCCCATTCCGTGTTCCTTCCCTTGGTGACGGCGGCTTGAGTACGCCTCTTACAGCTCGTGTACACAGTGAGGTTCTCGGAGCTCCGCGTCTTCTGTTAGCTCTTGTATGCTTCCTTCGTCCGTTTCACGACTCGCTGGACTTACTCGTTCGAGAAGCATGCTGCCTTGTCTCATCTGAATCACCATCTCGTGTCTCACCCAGCGCCTCCTTGACGCGTCGTGGGTAAACCTCAGCGGCGTTACTCCAAGTCTGCTGGACTGGCAAATGTGATTCTGAAAGACCAGTTTTCAGCACACTTCGTTGAGGGTCTTAATTGCTCGCTACAGTTTCCACCTCCCAGTTCTCTGCTCGGTCCTTACCACTGTCTCACACAGGAGGCACTGGTTATGTACTGCCAGGATGGACTTGAGCTCATGAGCCAGTTCTTCGCCAAAAATAGCTTTATGTCCTCTAAAGTCCTAATGGATGGCCTTCCTACCTGCACAAAGTCTTAACCCATTTGTCTCTCTCGACTGCTATAGGTTTCTTTCTGGGTGTCCCTTTTCACGTGCAGCAGATTGCGGATCGTCAGCTGTGGCCAGGCCCATAACCCTTCTTTCCTCTGCACTGATGATTATGAAAGAAAAAACTAAGAAGTAGTCGCGCACGTACAAAAAAAAACAAAATCACAGGTACGAGTCGCACCTAGCTCACACTGTTCCACGAGTCCGCCTTCTACAAATCAAGATATTGATGTTTTCACTCTTGTTAGCATGGATCGAAGGGTACTTCGTGTATTCCAAAGCTGGTAAAAGCTTACAAAGTAAGACTCACGCGACAGTACTGAGGGGGAAGATAAATGGAATACCAAAACAGTCGGCGAACAATGGGAATTTAGTGAGAAGGAGCGCAGGGAGCAGAGATGGGTTAGTTGGCAAGTAAGACGCATTCCACGGCATGGCCCAAGGCTACGTTTCATCCTGGATTATCAATCCAAGCCTACCATCCCACAGAAAAAATGAAGGCTTGAAAATGAGCTGCAACCTAATCACCGCATGTGCCTTGTATATAGCAAATCTCAAATGACAGCACGGAAAGCAGAAGTTGTGATAAATCCTATGTAGGGGAGGCCGCGATTAGATGCTTTATCCCTTTTTCACCTGCACAAAGGGTAATCTGAAGCAGGGCAATGAAAAGACATGAAATTTCATTCAACACTTGGGTATTCGTGCCAATATAACCACTTTTAACAGTATGGATTACGAACACTTTTACTATGGCTTCTATTGAGTCAAAGAAAACTGTCATAGCTTCTTCTGAAAACAATCCATGACAATCTTTATGACATGTAATACACGCCGTATCTCATATATCAAACTGCGAGTCCGGACACCTTTCTAGCAGGCGTTTCAAAAAGTTCTGTCTTTTTTGCACTTAAACTTTTGAAGGCTCGTTATCTTCCTTTGAACATAGAGAAAAACTGTAATCAGGTTGAGGAATGCCGTTTTGAAGAAGATTCCCTGCTGCTATCTCAATGCTTAGCTGAGCTTTGTCCTAAAATTTTCTCATAGCTTTTTAAGCTCTGAAGCGTATACTCGCATGAGCCGTTGCATGACTCTTTTAGCTTATGACATAGAACCTGCAAAGTAGCGGAACAGTCAAAATATTAAACGATGCACTTTGGGCGAGATTCGCATAAAATGTGCTCATATGGCGACTCGAAAGTTATTGTAACGAAAGCGAGAGCGACGTGGCCACACCATGGAGATCAAAAATTCTGAATGAGGCACCTCGTGCCATAAAGACCATAGAGGAGTTCTGCCCGAACCTGGGGCGTATATGGTTGCTAGAAGCAAGTATACGAAAATTAACTCGGAAGG